ATGGCTCGGCCACCTACCGCTCTCCAAAAGTCACTCCACATAGAAACTATTTTCTTATGCTTGAGACGGTGACCAACACGAATTCCTCGGACCACTCCGTGATTACCAATCACACACTCAATGGGGCCCGTGGTGAGTTGGGCTGCACGGGTGATGGCCTACAATTCTGCTGTTAGAGCTGTCTGGCTATCGCAAGGCAAAGGGCAGCCCTCCTCTTCCTCCTCCACGTCCTCTTCCTCCTCCTCCTCCTCCCATTCCCCCTCCTCCTCCTCCTCCCCCTCCTCCTCCTCCTCCTCCTCCTTCTCCTCCTCCTTCTCCTTCTCCTCCTCATCATCATCGCACTCTTCGTATTATCCTAATGTTGCGTATTATTATTCGTCGTCGTATTCGTTTTCTTCTGCGTCTGATTCTGCGCCTGCGTCCACTTGTGCGCCTGCTTCTTCGTCCACTTCTTATTCGTCTTATTATTGTTATGCTTTTCATTATTACGACGGTTACTGTTATTAACAGTAATAGCAATACGAGTCTTACTATTGCTATGATCACTCGCATTGGTATTCGTACGGGTAGTATCATCACCATTCGTGCGATCATTACCCAGATTATTAGTAGAAGTATAATTCGAAATATTAGTAGTATTGGTATATGCGGTTTTTGAGAAAATTATTGAAGTACCAATATGATTACCATTCCTCTCCCTGCTCCCCCTCTTTCTCTTCCTCCTCCTCCTCCTCCTCCGCCTCCATCTCCCCCTCCCCCTCCGCCTCCGCCTCCTCCTCCTCCCCCTCTTCCTCCACCTCCTCGTCCTCGTCCTCCTCCTCCCCCTCCTCCTCCTTCCTCCCCGTCCCCGTCCCCGTCCCCCGTCCCCGTCCCCGTCCCCCGTCCCCCGTGCCCGTCCCCGTCCCCCGTCCCCGTCCCCGCCCCCGTCCCCGTCCCCGTCACCGTCCCCGTTCTCATCCTCGTCCCCGTCCCCGTCCCGGTCCCCGTCCCCGTCCCCGTCCCCGTCCCCGTCCCCGTCCCCCCGTCCCCGTCCCCTCCCTCCTTCCTCCCCTTCCCCCTCCTCCTCCTCCTCCTCCTCCTCCTCCAACTCTTCCTCCTCCCTCTCCCCCTCAACCTCCTCCTCCTCCTCCTCTTCTTCGTCTTCGTGTTCTTCTTAGTATCACTCTGGTTATGGGTACTACCATGAAGAATATTATCATGTTTGGTCTTCCTATTACTATTGCAATTATAATTACCCGGCTTCGTTGTATGAGTATTACAATCATTGTCCTTATTATTATTATTATTATTATTATTACTATTATTATTATTATTATTTTTGGTACTATTAGTATCAGTATTACAATTGTTGTTATTATTAGTATTATTATCACCATCATCATCATCATCATCATCATCATCAGCATCAACATCAGCATCAGCATCAGCATCATCATCATCATCATCATCATCATCATCATCATCATCATCATCATCATCATCATCATCATCATTATTAATATTATTGTTATTATTCTTATTATTATGCTTATTAGTAGTAGTAGTAGTAGTCGTCGTCTTCTTCTGAATATTACTATTAGTATCAGTATTATTATAATTCGTCTTCTTCTGCTTCCTGATCATACTCTTCCTCCTCCTTTTGCTCCTGCTCCTCCTCCTCCTCCTCTTCCTCCTCCTCTTCCTCCTCCTCCTCCTCCTCCTCTTCCTCGTCCTCGTCCTCGTCCTTGTCGTCGTCCTCGTCCTCGTCCTCCTCCTCCTCCTTTTCCTCCTCCTCCTCCCCCTCCCCCTCCCCCCCTCCCCCTCCCGCCGAACGGTCGTTCCTCGCCATCTCGGTCCTCAGACAGCAAACCTTACGACCGAGGGACGTCCGCCGGCCACCTCCCCGGCTGGCCACCCAAAAGGACCTCCCCCATCGGAAAAGGGGGGCCTGTTTTTGTGTCGTGTGTGTATATATATATATATATATATATATACATATATATATATATATATATATATATATGTACATACACATGTACCATTATGCATATATGTATACGTAACTATAACTACATACGTATCGGTGTATTTGTATACACACACACTTTACACACGGATACGTGCAGGTATTGCTATCGATATGTTTCGAACTCGAATCGACTCCCAAAGGTGGACGAAAATGGGAAGCATGGAGCAAAAGGAAAAGGGATACGATAACAACACTGACGACGAGAACCATTTTTGTTGTTGCGTTCGCTCTATATCTCATTATATATACACATACATACGTATATATACATATACATATACGTACAATCTATATATATATATAAAAATATACAAGCTTATGTCAATTGTAAACATATATATATATATATGTATATACATATATATATATATATGTATATACACGGGCAGGTTCCCACAACGACGCTTGCACATAGGAGCTATGACCCCTGGTCAGAAGAAAACTGGGCCTGGGTGGTGGTCTGGCGGTTCCATGCTCGCCGCCGCCGCCCCGTCGCCGCCCGTCGGTTGGGCCTGGGTGGCGGTCTGGCGGTTCCGTGCTCGCCGTCGCCGCCCCGTCGCCGCCTCGTCGAAACACGTCGGCCTGTGTGGCGGGTTGGCGGTTCCGTGCACGCCGTTGCCGCCCCGTCGCCTTCTAAATTGCACAACGCGTATATTGCCCCACACGTGCTGCATAATATCGGCCGCGCCGCATACATTGCGCCACGTCGGTTGCACCACAGAGACTACACGCATAAGCTGCGTCACGCAGGTTGCACCACACCAGTGGCACCACACAGGTAGTCCTTTCTCGAAAAGAATTGTGTTACCCCTCCTACAGATTAGCCGCTCCCCTCTGGGGATGTACAATCTACAAACGATCCGGCCCCATCGTTCAGTGCGAACGTGACGCCATACCATGCCAGCCCGGCCCTTATCGACTGGCCCCGTCACCCCTGTCAAATAATACCTTGTGCACGCACCCTGTATCATAGCACAGCAACTTCCTCAACTACATTACAACACGTATGACAAACCCTACACGCACGCGGCGTCGCAAGCGCATGCCCAAATCTTTCACAAACCACAGACTTCGCTAGGACGTTAAAACCGAATGTTCCAAAACCGAATGCAGCACTTATGGTTTTGCAACATGCGTGTCAAGAGAAGGTCCGCGCGAGCATGGTTTAGTTTTTGTCGATGGGAACGTTGGTGTCCAACCTTTTTGTTACATCACATGCGGCCAAACGTGCATCTCGCGCGGGCATGTTGCGTGCGTGCTGGGTGGGAGGGGGCGGGGCGACCCCTGTCAAATAACACCATGAGGGGGCCAATCGCGCCCGTCGGCCGCGCATGCATGCCGACGTCCTCCAAAAACCTTCATCACCGACGCGTTGACACCATTATCGTGATCGACGTGGTCAACATCGGTGCTGCCATTGGCCTTGCCGTCGTCACCGTCATCGTGTCTGCGGTTGTCGACGTCGCCATGGTACCGCGCCCGCCCGAACCACCGGCTCGCACGGAAATGCCAGCGCATTGGCGTGGCCTGCTAGAGGCGCTGGGACGTGCCCAGCGGTCAGCACCACCGCGGCCCCGTCGGTCAAGCTAGGTTAGGTGGCCGCTCTGCGCGCGAGCCAGCGCGCGCCAGCGCGGCCGCAGCGATGCGTCAGCCACCGCCAAACAAACATCGCAACTGCCGCCGCATAGGTTTTGCAAAGCAAGTTGCGGGCGAGTGGGTGGGATGATTGCGCAAGCAGTGGAGTTGGCAACTCCAAGTTCGGCAGGGAGAACTGCGCAAATATTGCACCACACAGATCGTTCCCAACATATTGCACACCATGACCTGCAGATTGCACATCCGATATGGCACCACATAGACTGCGGCGCAAATATTGCACTTTTGAAACACATCACGATTGGAGCCCTCGCTTACTAACACGTGCATGTACGCATGTAGATACCAGCAAAAGAACTTAGACAAATCTGTGTGTGTTGCCCCTCCGACAACCACAATACTATATATGTGCATATGTATGAACTGCCCATCCCCCAAAACCTTCTTCTTTTGACGGTGTTAGCATCTCCTCTTCCTCTTCGTTCGTTCCCCCTGTTCCTGACGCTCATCCACCTCCTCCTCCTCTTCCGATGAGGCAAAGAGACGAAGAACGAAGAGTCTGCAAAAGGACAAAGAGAAAGAGAGAGAGAGAGAGAAAGAGAGACAGAGAATGTGCGAGGGACCCAACGAAACCGCGATCTTTATTAAATCACATGGTTTGCGAAGTAAGTCGGCGCCAAATACTGTGATGTCAATTGGAGTTTTGAGATTCCTGGTATCATAATCCCAGAAGCCATGCGATGTCATGTGGATGTTTTATGTAACATCCTCCGACGAAAATCCACGCTGCAGCCCCCAGAGCTCTGAACCCGAGAAATCTGATCCGAATGAAATCATACGGCTTCTGGGATTCTCACAGCAGAAATCCCAAACATCCAACTGAAATCACAACGTTTGACGCCAGCTTACTCCGAGAACGATTTAATTTCACAGAGATCGCTGCTCCCTCGAGTCTCTCTCAGTTGTTTTTTCTTGTTTGTTTCTCTCTCTCTCTCTCAATATTTCTATATCTCTTTGCAAACTCCTGCCTGCCTCATCGGAAGAGGACGATTCGTTCCGCAGATGATCGCCCTACCGATTGCACTGATTGTCCCACTGGGCAGCATCACGCGGTGGAACTGATCAAAGCATGTAGACCAATGGTAGTGAATCCCACCTGATATGTGCAGGCCACACTCCCACCTGTGTTTTCGGTTGCCAGCTTCAATCTCTAACCCACGAAATGTTCAGCGTGCCAGATCACGTCTGAAAACAACGGACACAACAATCAAAATCTACCTGCCAAAGCTCCCTGCAAGATGATTGTGCTAAGGGAACCGACTGATTTCAAGTAGCCTGCTCCAAATCTAGGCTGTCCGAGAAGAACAAAATCTCAACCGGTGGGTTCACGCAGATATTCGCGCCTCCGAGATCAGATCTCCTGCCGTCGCCTGAACCATCAGCATCCGCCACCCTTGCTCGCTCCTGCAGGGACAGGGCTGCTCCAAGCAACCCTGTCAAAAAGCAATCGCATGGTGAACAACATGCCCCGTCTGGTGGCATTGGTCGCACGATACGGGCCAAATGTCCAGCACGGCGTGCGCGCGTCTGGTTGCAGCTGGTTATCTCGTGATGCCCACCCGCTAGTACAGCAGCATGGAGATGCCCGATAACATGAGCCGGCGAAAACTTACCGGCGTCCAAATTACAACTAGAGTGTTCGTGCACCCTTTTAAAAAGTTCATCGCACCTGGGCAGACGCCCCGCAAGTTAAACAGAGTCGTGAGCATAAGAACACCTACAGCACAGTTTGACGACGCGGGACCTCGTTTGTGACTTGGCCTATCCTCCTACTCCTCCTCCTGTCCTCCCACGGGTCGAGACACTCGCCAACGGATGTCCGACTGCATTCGGGCGTGCGCCTGGAAGGTCCCGACATCCATCACACGAGACACACATACCTACGCCTCCCTCCAGAGGCTGCTACTTTACACCGAAGGCACGTGTCTGAACTCCGCTCACATTATGCAGCCGCTTGCTGCTGTGTTCTGCGGCCGCCGTTGACACTGGTTGCTACTGCTGCCAAGGGCGTTTCTTAGCGCCTGTTTGGGCCCATATGAAGGCCCCCCTTGGGCCCAAACATGCTGATTGCCCGTTTTGAACATCAGACTGGCTTCCCTTCGGAAACGGACAGCCTTACGGAATCTCAAGGCACTCTGCATGCGAAACCAGATGATCCCGAGAGGTTCTCGAATTGAACATGGGAAGGGTCAACAGACCGATGGCATTGACAGAGACACCACGACAATTCAACTTCCTCTTTCCTGTTCACCACTGTGCGTATTGCGCAGTATGCGCGCCAAGGTCTACCTGTGTGCAATTTGCGAACTGCGGTTTGCTTCCTGCGCCATGTGATATGATACCAAACTCATGGTACCCACTGCATTCTACATGTTGCCCATCGTCTGCAAACTCCCACATGGAACATTTGTTTATTAGTCACGTGCGGGTGAACAAGTGAAACGAAGGAGGCAATACCCAAAGGATAACAAAAATCACGCTCACCTCAACAACCGGCTGGGCCAATATCGGCCGCGACCATCGGGCGGCCGGACAAAAAACGCAGCCTCAGAGGTCCAACCTCTGTGACTCGGTAGTTCGCTCGCGGCACGCCTCTAAGCAGGAGTCAGCGGAGGCACTGACCGCGAACGGCAGTAGCCTGGAATAACGTCAATGTAACCCGTACGGGCATTGTACAAAGCGCCTCGGGAAGACTCTTAGCGCTATCTGCATAGCGTGCTAAGGCGACATCGCCACGTCTTGCACTGCCTACACGCTCAATAAACTTTCCACTTGAGCTCGTCCACAACTTCGTTGGTCACCTGCAACAGAGACGAGCACGCGCACTGAATAACATGCATTATGTGCAAGATCATTCGCGGTCATGTTCACGTGTGCGAGTGTACCCGCAAAGGGTTTGATCCAACATATATGTTCATAGATAATCTCGGGAAGGACGCAAAATAACCCGCCGACCCCTTGGGGATCATCGGCGTGTGAGATGCTTCCCCCTCCCCAAACCCCTCCCCCGGGAGCCCGGTCCGGTCGATTTGGAGGGGGGGGGGGGTCCGGCACGAGCGCAGCACGGCCGGGACGAGCGGTTCACGGGGCTTTTCCGGGCCCAAGAGGGCCTCAAGACGGGCCAAGAAGCCCCCAAGAGGCCTCCAAGACGGCCCACGAAGGCCCCGAGACGCCAAACGACCGCTCCAAGACGCCCAAGATGGCCCCAAGACGGGCCAAGAGGTCTCCAAGACGGCCCCCGAGGTCCCAAACAAGCCTCCCAAGAGGGCCCATAGTTGATTTTTCGATGTTTTTCGCTTTTCCGCCTTTTCGGCTTCCCGACGCTCCAAGACGGCCAAAGAGGCCCCAAAGACAGCCCCAAGATGGCCCAAGAGGCCCCCAAGACGGCCTCCAGACGGCCCAAGACGGCCCCAACACGGCCCAAGAGGTCCCCAAGACGGCCCAAGAGGGCTCCAAGACGGCACCAAGAGGGGCCCAAGAGGGCGACCAAACATGTTGAAACTCTAGCTTTCTGCCCCCAGGAGCCCCAGGGGGCCCCAAGAGTGCCCCAAGAGGCCCCCAGAGGCCCTCACGAGGCCGCCCAGACGCCCCAAGGAACCCCCAAGAAGCACCCCAGAGGCTCCGAAACGGCCCCCAAGTGGCTCCAAAACTCGCGGTGTCGCCGTCCGCTCGGACCCCCCCGCGGAACTGCCCGAGACCCTCTGGCGGTGGCGGCGAACAGACACCAACCAAATATCACTCGCCTTTTCACCCCTTCGCAGCTTCTACTACCCCCAGATTGGCATAAACAAGGGGTCGGCGGTGTGGCGTAAGCCTAAGAATCTCGGGAAGGACGCAAAACACAATGATTTATGTACATTTAGGGTGACAATGACTGAGGATGCTTCACCTTGCCAGAATATCAATGGTTTTCAGCCTCAGGTGCCAAGACGTGTCAGATCGACTCAATCATAACAATACCCCAATGCGCTCATACCAGGCTGTGCTGTTGAAATTATAGACTCCATGCCCTGACACCAGTTCAGTATGTGAAATACATCCTAGCGGGTCCAATTCATGGGAACCCATCATGTAAAACCCTGTCGTTCAGGACCTGATCGTGAATGACCCTACCGTGTGGGGGCCCTACCGTGTCGGACCCTTTCGCGCGCGACGCTTTGGTTTTAGACAATTTCGTTCGAGGCCCTATCGTGTGGGACCCGTTTCTGTGGGACCCTGTTCTGTTGGAGCGTCCTGTGCGCCACAATCGTGTGGGATGATCCCCTCGAATGATGCCTTCGTGCGGGAACTTACCGTGCGGAACCCCATGGTGTGGCACTCTGTCGCGTGTGACACCTTTGTGTGGGGACCCTACCCTGTGGGGCCCTGCTGCGCGGCCCTTACTCGCCCTGGGCCTAAACATGTGAGGCACTAACATGAAGGTCGGGCATGCCTTCCTACAGGTCTTTTTTGGAAGGCACATAAAAACATATCAAAACACGAAAGCAAAAATAATCCACAAATAATCGAAAGATCGTCCCCAGACTATTTTTGGACTCTTCCAAAAGATTCCACCTGTAGAGGGACATGCCCGACTTATCGCTAACAGCATCGAGTGGGACACCACCGTGTGGGACCCTGCGGTCCGGGACCTTGTCGTGCGGAACTTTTTGTTTGTGCATAACTCCTTCCTGTGGGAACCTACGGCTCGTATCAGAAGGATGCGCGATAAGGATGCAAGGGCCTTGGACGCCCATTTCGAAGCTTTTCGAGCAGAGCGCGGCCAACGAAAGTGGCCAAGGATGGACCGAGGAGGCAAGGATGCAAGGGTACCCTTGGGAAAGATGCCCATCCTTATTATGCAGGTTGACTGTACCGTCTGTGACCGAATCGCGCGAGGGAACATCGTGTTGGACCCTCTCGTTGGGATTCTGCTGTATGGTCTGGGGCCCGACCGCGTGAGACACTATACAATGTGGGGCCCGATCCGAATCAGAGGTTGGGGGCGAGGTCGCAATGAAACGGAGACCCCCCAACCGGGAAATCGGTGTCGGCGTGCGGGCGGGGCGAAGTTGCGTAGGCGGGCGAGAAGAATGAACCCTCCACTGGCCAGGGCGCCGCCGGGCCAAAGACCGCCCCTCCCCCCAGTTGGACAGCAGTGGCCGGGAGTGTCCCGCAGTGGTGTCTCGATGGTGTAAGATTCAATCGAATGGGAACCTCTCCTGTGGGACACCATGGAGTGGAATCCGATTGTGCGGGATGCTGTCGTGTGGGAATACATCGCGTGGGCTGCAGCGCAACGTTCAGTCACAAAGGCGTTTCCAAAAAGGCAGGGACTGGTGGTGACTCGCCGTAAGCGTCTTCAATTCGCCGCCTCTTTGGGCTTGCCATACGGGTACTTGGCGTGCCAAACTTGTGTGCATCTTTTCGCCCTTCAACCAACAAAAACAAAATGTTCTCGGCGCATCCCGCCGGCCACCCAAACAGAAGGTTCTCGGTGCATCCCGCCGGGCAGCCGGAAGCGTGCATGAAGAGTGGCCTCCATCCATCCCAAGATGGCCCCGAAGCGTATGCAAGAAGGCCCAAAGCGAGTCCCAAATGGCTCCAAGATGACCCAAGACGCCCCCGAGACCAACATCGTAACAAGGTGTTTGACTGAGTTTCGAGTTCTCGCCATTTCGGGCTTGGAACAGCCGAAGGCGCCCTGAGAGGCCTCTAAAGTAACTCCAAGAGTGCCCCATAAGCCCTACAAGATGTGCAAAAAAGGCAAACATGTGCAAGAAGGGCCAGGAAATGTGCAAAAAGGGCCCCAAGACGGCCCAAGAGCCACCCACAACGGACAAACACGGGCCCAGATACCTCCAAGACGTCCCCACAGCGCCCCAAGCGAGCACCAAGACGGCCCAGAAAGGCACCCGAGACGGCCTCCGCATGCCAAGAGCCTCCTGAGACGCCTCCAGAGGCCTCCACGAGGCATCCAAAAGGGTACTCCGAGACCTCCAGAAGGCCATGAGGAAGGCTCCGTCGTCCTCCTCCCCCCTTTTCTCCTCCTCGTTCTCCTCCTCCCACCTCCTCCTCGTTTCCTCCCCCAAGTGTTTCGCCCATGGTTTCCACAACAGCTGCGGGAACACACAATCCAACGCGTTGGCCAGACTGTGGCTCCGTGTTTGGGCACCCCAACGTTTCACAAAAGCAAAGGTTAACGGTGACTCGCCGCGAAAGTCTTCGATAATCAACCATTCGAAATAATGCCAGACGACCAGCAGGTGTCACGGAAACTTTACGGACGGTGCAGAACAAACCTGCAAATTTCCTATGGATGTGCATCCGCTGCTCATGCATCATGCGTCGCGTGCTTCGAAAGTAGCCGGTATGTGTCGCTAGCTTGTGCGCTCGCTAATGTGAGCATGCTCGCGTACCCTTTGCATGAATCATGGCCACGGACATCTGGCCTACCTCTACATAATCATGACTGGGCACCAACATCGAACGGTCGCAGATGTCCGCACTCGCAAGCGTTCTATCGGGCTTCGTGCTGCTTGCGACTAGGTGCCATATCTGCCAAATCACAACATCGGCACTACACACTGAACATCGGCACAACATGCTCTGAAGCATTCAAGTCCGCTTGATTTCGCATTCAAAACGATCACACAATACATCATCCCTTCCAACAACAACGTCTACCCAATGTTGCCGTGACTCTGCCTACCCGACAACATGACAAGATAACGCACGTTGCCTGGTTTGGCGGGCTGTGGCAGAAGATGCAGGTGAGTGTCGCGTGGCCATGCCTCGACAGTGCTTGCATTATCTCACCCCTCGGGAAAAGAAGACAAACTCACACCCAAGATTGTCAGCTACAGCGAACTGGCTTACCATGCAGGCATATTCGTAAGCAGGCCCTGACAGTGTGATCAATATGTGTGCACTGTGGGCAGCGCTCGTAAGACATCCATGACAAACAAGCGCGCCATGGGCTACGAAACGACTCTCGACTGGAACTTCACATACGCCCCCCCGACCTTGATACGCGTCCTGCGCCCAAATCCACCAGCACTCTGAGAGTTGTTTGCTGAGGGTATCAACTCTTCCAGAAAAATACGTTCCACTGGTTCGAACCCCCCCCCTCCACAAAACCGGGGGGGGTCACTACCAATTCGAACCAACCCTCCCCCTCTCCAGAAAACCGGGGGGGGTCACTACTGGTTTGAACACACACCCCCACTCACCGCCGGCAAACGACTCCTGGGTCCCCACCACCGTCCGCACCACATCCCCCACCGCTGCCTCCAGCTCCACTGTCCCACCACCGTCACCACTGTCCGCATCAGTGCCCCCACCACTGCCCCACTGTCCCTACTGTCCCCACCACTCTTCCCACCACGGTCCCACTCTCTCCACTTTCCCCACGGTCCCCACCACTGCCCCACTGTCCCTACTGTCCCCACTGTCCCACTGTCCCACTGTCCCCGCCGCTGTCCCACTGAGCTGTCCCACTGTTCCCACCACTGTCCCCACTGTCCCCACCGCTGTCGCAAATGTACCTCTGTCCCATTGTCCCACCACCGTCCTCGCCACCGCCCTCACCACTGTCCCCACCACCACTGTCCCTACCACTGCCCCACTGTCCCCACCACATTCCCACTGTCCCCACACCACTGTCCCCACCACCACCGTCCCCACCACTGTCCCAGTATCCCCACCACTGTCCCACTGTCTCCACTGTTCCCACCATTGTTCCCGCTGTCCCCACCAGTGCCCCGATCAGTGTCTCACTGTCCACACTCTCCCCACTTTTCTCCCACCACGGTCCCACTCCCCCCACTTTCCCCACCACGGTCCCCACCTCTGTCCCCTCTCTCCCGCCACGGTCCCCACCACTGTCCCACTGTCCCCACTGCCCCCACCACTGTCCCACTGTCCCCACTGTCCCCGCCGCTGTCCCACTGTACGGTCCCACTGTCCCCACTGTCCCCACCACTGTCCCACTGTCCCCACTGTCCCCACCTCTCCCCCACCACTCTCCCCACCACTACCGTCCCCACCACCGTCCCACTGTCCCACTGTCCCCACCACTGTCCCGCTGTCCCCTCACCACTGTCCCCACCACCACCGTCCCCACCACTATCCGCACCACTGTCCCACTGTCCCCACACCACTGTTCCCACCACCTCCGTCCCAACCACTGTCCCTGTATCCCCACCACTGTCTATCTGTCCCGAGGAGTGGGAAGCGTTTGCCGGCGGCGACGGGTGGGGGGGAGTTCGAACTGGTAGTGACCCCCCCCCAGTTTTCAAAGGGGGGGGTTCGAATCGGTAGTGACCCCCCCCCTTTTCATAATTGACCGGGAGGGAGGGGGGGGGTTCAAACCAGGAGTGCCCCCCCCGGTTTTCGAGGGGGGGGACGGGTTGGGAACCCCCAGTGACCCTCCCCGGTTTTCCGCCAGCAGCGGTAGAACACGCTCTTTCCCATCATGACTCGATGTGGCCCACGAAATAACACCCAAGCCGACAGCATGTTGCCCTGTACTGCTTTCAGCACGGCCTCCAATCTGCTCAGGAGATAAACCTGAAGCGCCGCTGGCACCTCCGCGCGGGGGCCCGAGGTGCCACAAGCATTGACAGGCGTTTTGGATTCAAGAACGGGGTCTCTAGTGCCTTCGCATACTCGGCAACTACTGGGCATGCGACGCCTCACGATGTGCCCAATATATGCTGCAAAGGGCCTTCAGACATGCCAGCAATGGATACCGAACAGGCCCCAACACACACAGACGAACACCGCAAGCGAGCCCACAAAGGTCCCCAGGCGGCACCAAAGAGGGCAGCCGAAGCGGCTAAACGCCAACGTCAAAAAACGCTCTGGCATACCTCTTTTTTTTGGGGGGGGGGGCGGCAGCGGTCTTCCCCCTCATGTGGTCCTAGCACGGCAGCCACCAGTTTACTGCATGGGCTCCACGGGCCCAAGTCAAGCAGAACAACACAATCAGCATTCTGGTGGACGGAGGGCAGAAACAAAATCGCTTCAAAAAACGGCTCGGTTCCCCCATTCAACGAATGCGGACGGTCGGATGAGTTCGAGTGGCGACAGCAGCGGACACAGTAAGGCGTCCCGTATTCGGCAGCCGCTGCCCGAATCGCGCGTCTTTGAATTACGGTGCTTACAGTGGAGGTCAGTCCACAAGAAACACAACACTGGGACCCCAGGACGTCCACTGACGTTTGGTGTGGGAACGTCGCGCTTTCCATAGCAAAACCATCGAAACCCAACAAATTCAGGACAATCTGGAGGCAAGCAGGGTGTTTCTTGGCATGGGTCCCCAGTAGGCGTTGTGCGATGGATTTGCGCTTGGTTGTTCCACCCACGGCCTCCATCTGGCCAAGGGGCCAACGTCCTTCAAATACCAGAAAAAACTCACGAATGTTGGCCGTATCGGCTGTTCGCTTCCGATGGACTTTGAGGCCTCAAGGCGGCCCCAGACGCCCTCCAAGATGGCCCCAAGAGGCGCCCCGAGGCTCCCAAGAGGACCCCAAAGGGGCTCCGAGACGGCCGAACGACCCCGCAAAAGAGCCCAAACATGACCCTGCTACCTTCCAAAACAGCCCCAAGAGGACCTCAAGAGGGCCGCGAGAGAGCCCCACGATGATCGTAAGAGGCCCTCCAGAAAACCAAAATATTGCTGCCATACAGTCAACCCGTATCATAAGGATGCGCGGTAATGATGCAGGGGTCTTGGAGGCCCATGTTAACGTCGTTCGAACGAGGTTCGCAAGCGAAAATCCCTAAGGACGGGCCGAAGGCAAGGATGCAAGGGTACCTTTGGGAAAATTGCCCATCCTTACTATGTGGGTTGACTGTAGTCTTCGTCATCGTCCTCCTCCTCCTCCTCCTCCTCCTACTCGTCTTCGTCCTCGAACTCCCCTCGGCCTCCTTCTTGTCCTCCTTCCCGTCCTGGGCCTGATCCGACCGATCCAACACATGATCCACTGCATGCTTCAACACTGTCCTGATGAAGGCAACTCGCCTGGGCAGCGTTCCTGGATGGGCTGGCTGAGACGCGCGAAGCGTCAAGAATTGCTTGCCCCATCAGCCAGGATGTTCTTGACCAGGAGACTCTGTGAAAGAAACTGCGCTAGAACAGGCTCTGGAGTGCGGCACGAGACGCCTCTCGACCGAGACTGAGTATTCGGGAGTAGATAAAACGCCCCTTAGCAAAACACCCCTTAGCGAAAACGGCCCGCGGCCAGACCCAGAAAGGCGGTCGAAACACCCCCTCGAGAATCGACAAGAGGGCAACTCGCTAATCGACTTGGCAGGGTGGGGTTCTCCGTCAACCTTCGACAGCATATCGTAAGATGCGCACGATCTTGAGCTTGATTCGGGGCGGGGCGAAGTGGCACGAAGCGCCGAGGAGGAGGATGAAGAGGAGGAGGATCGAGGAGGATTGTCGAGGATCGAGGGGGAAGAGAAACATCGAGGAGGATGCGCGTCTCTCTCTCTCTCTCTCTCCCCCTCTCAGGGCTCGACCTAACCAGAGTTGTTCGTGCTCATCTTGCCTTAGGTCACCCTCGTTCTGCCTTCGCTTCACCTCTGCCGCACAACGAGGTCGAAACGAAAACGGTCCACGAGATCGCCCAAACACCGTCCAGGTCGAGAACCCTGGGGGGAAGAGGAAGATCGAGGAGGATGCGCATGATGCGCATCTCTCTCTTAATGGGCCCCGGAAACGGCAAGGCCGTTGTTTTCACCGTTTCCGAAAAATGTCTCTTGAACATGTGAACGGCAAAAAACACCGACCGGAAACTGGAACAAAAACGACTCCAGGATTGGAGCCGGAGCCGGAACTGGGAAAGACAACGGGGACGGAACCAACAGGCAAATGACGACGGAACTGGCGCAGAAAGGGCACAACGGAGCTGGTATATACAAAGACGGCCCTGTCGCTTCCAGGGCCCGCCAAGAGCTCTCTCTCCCTCTCCCTCCCTCTCTCCGCAGGGGGCGTGCACAGCGTCTGGGCGCTCCTGTCGGTCGGCCGGGCGTCGATGCCGCCCAGGTGGACCCCCTCCCCTGCCCCTCCCGCCGGGTCCACGGCAGCGCTGCCCTGGAGGGGGGGGGGGAGGGGGGGGGGAATCGACCCAAACGGTGATCTCCGATTTCGCTCTGCGTTCATCTTCCCTCGTTCTGTCTTCAATCCGCCCTTGCTGCAACCACGAAGTCGACACGGAAACGGCCCACGAGATCGCAACAAAGGAAACGTTCGGGTCGACCCCTGGGGGAAGGAGGGGGGAATCCTGGGGAGAACAACGGAACAAACCGTGGCGCAAGCATGACATTTCAGACAACTGTGCGGGTTTCTTGTCCTGGCGCCCGAAACGGGTACGGAAAAAATCGACAGAATTCCCAACAACAAATGTTGTCCAAAACCGACAGCGGCCGCTGTTGGGCGGGCGGTTTGTTGTCTTCAATGGACAACGTCCGCGGCAACACCGACAGCGAACCCTGTTCAGAATGCATAGGAACGGCTGCCGCACCTACAGAGGAAGAAGAAGAAGAAGAAGCGCCTGGCGCGCTGCGCGCTGGCCTCCCACAGGGGGATGTTAGGCAAACATGTTAAATAGTCCGAACATACACCAGGAAAGAAACAAGTAGATCAGTCGCCCCCTGACCATGTTTGCACCATCTTTGACGATTCGTCCTGCAGCGGGAGGCCTGCCCGACGCAACACTTCACGGCGCAGGCGCAGACGGCAGCGCAGGGGGCGTGCAGAGGAACGCCCTCGCGCCGCCCCCCGGAGACGAGCCGACATCAGCCGCGAGGGCTGGTTCGGCTGCGGACTCTGGGCGCGCCGGGTGCCGGCCGCCACCGGAGAGGGCGACGGCACGGGGGCCCTGTCGTGGATGGCCTCGAGGCGTGGCCGAGTGAGAAGCACGGCGGGGCGAGACCACGGGGTGCTCAGAGGCAGGAAGGGGGGACCTCCCGCTCCTCCTCCTCGTCGTCCTCGTCCTCCTCCTCCTCCTCCTCCTCCTCCTCGTCCTCCTCCTCGTCCTCCTCCTCCTCCTCGTCCTCCTCCTCCTCGTCCTCGTCCTCCCTCACCCTCACCCCCTCCCTCATCGTCGTCGTCGTGGCCGTCGTCGTCGTCTCCGTCGCGGTCGCGGCCGAATCTGGGCAACGAAGAGACGGCGAGTCGGGGTCCAAATGAGGGTCTCGCGGCCGTCGACGGCTCGCTCGTCCCCAGCAAATCGCGCCCCGAGGCCGAATCTCGGTCGCGACCGGGTCGTCCAGAGCGTTGCCCGAGGCCCTCTGAGTTCCAGCATGCCAGCGAAGGCCTCCCTTCGGAGGGCCGCCAGAGCGAGGACACTCCAGCGCGCGCTCGGGGACACCAACGATGGAGAGGCGATCGGCCAACGCGCCGGCCTGCAGTCGAAGCGTGGCCCGAAGAGCGTGGGTTCAGAACACGGTACCCGTCGCTGAAGAAGGCCCACGCGTATGCCCAGGATGCGCATCCCAGGGCGGAGGCTGCAGAACGTTGAACAACGAGGGGACCCCTCCGAAGCGTGGGCTGTCCTTACCCCTCGTGCAAGCTGTATGCCTGATGCGCTCTTCGAGTGCATTTTGGTGTCGAACACGCGTTGTGCCCCGCAACGACGAGGCTGCAATGCCCGCATCTCCCCTCCTCAACCTCTGGCACTGCCCCTCCCCGCCGCGGGGCCGATCTCCCCTCGCAGGGTTGCGCTGGTGACCTGGAGGTAACGAAAGAATGCATTGCCACCACTACAGGCCTCCTAGATGGGGTCGGAATTGATGGTGTCGAAGGATCAGGCCGCATCGCCGGCACATCGGCGATGCATCGGCGATGCACCAGCGATGCATCGGCGACGTCGGCGATGTATCGGCGACGTCGGCGATGTATCGGCGACGTCCGCGTGAAGAAAATCGGGCTCCGCATGGAGCCGCATCGACGATGCATCGGCGATGCGGCGCGATCCTCCGACCCCATCTGCTCCGACCACATCCAGGAGGCCTAGAACGACTGCGGCCAAACGAACAAAAAAAACACCGGGCAAGGACGACTGACAACACTGGTGGTGTCTGAGTCTGGGTCGCTGGCTGCGGCCCGGCGGCCTCGACGACGACGGCGACGAACCGGGCATCCGGTCGGGCCTGGGCGAGCAGAGCATCCCCTCCGCCGGCCCAGACTGCATAGCATTCGAGGGTACCCTCCCCCAGGTTGCGCCAGAACATCCAGCAAGCACGAGGAACACCAAGATACCCTCCCCGAAGCGACCTCGATCTGATGCCTCGGTCCGGCTGTACGCTATGATGTCTTGACACTTCCCAGTGGGGCGCTGCGACCCCCCGGGCATTTCTCAAGAATCGTTAGGTCGCAGTTTGTGATGTGCGTGCCTCGGCCCAGCCTTCCTCTGTCAACGGATAGGACGTCTCGGGAGGTGGGGCACATCCATTGTCCTTGATCTATATACATATATATGTATGTATATATATAGATAGAGCTTGCTGGATAGTTTTCGGAATGCCAGGTTTCTCATCCAGCCTCGTCTCGACGTCCGTGCTCCTGGAATGGGCTGCCTTTGATGTCTGCCAGCCTCCCTTTCAGGATTCACGCTCGTAACTATTCTGGCTCAAGATCGCCTGGCGGCGATCGGAACGGGCGCCACGGCGAGCCACTCCCAGGTCGCAGTGTGCGCGCGATCAGCCCTCCTCGCTGGCTCGGGGGCGCTGCTCTGGAGTCAGGTGGCCTGGCACCTGGCGAGCTGGGCTGCTGGGCGCTTCGGGCCTGAGGCGGCTCGGGTGCTGACTGTCGCGGGGGCGCGGGGCGTCGCCGCGCTGGGCGAGGCCGCCCACACCGCCTCTCGCTGGGGCTGGCGCGCTCTGCAGGCGGCAGCGACCTTCGCGGGCTCTCTGCTTGCTCTCGCTTGGGAGCATCGCAGCTGGCTGGCACGGGGAGCCCGAGCCGCCTGGTCGCGTGGCCGCGCGGCGCTGGGGGCCGCCTGGGCTCTGGGCGCGCAGGCCGTCGGAGGGCTCCGTGGCTGGAGGGCGGCCCGTCGGGCCGACCGCGCACGCGCTCGCGAGCTCGCAGCCGCTTCAACCGCTCTCGAGTACGCCTTGGTGGAGATGGCGCTTGCAGGTGGCGTAGCCGTCGGGGCGGCGGACCCGTGCTGGGTGCTGCTTTCCCGCGGTGGCGAGTGGGACGAGGTCCTCATCTTCGGGCAGGTGCGGGGCGCGGACTACAGCCTCGGCTTGACGACGGACGCGGCGGGGGTCGCGTTCGTCTGGGTGCTGGTGCGCCTGCTGCCGGGGCATTTTCGCGCTGTGGTCGTGCCTGGAGGGGGAGGCCTCCGCATGCCGCCGTTCGGCGTTCCTGGTGCCCAGGTCAACTGGGTGTGCGAGCCGCCGCACGCCGCGGTCCAGTGGGACCCGAGTGTGGCCGAGCTGGCCGCGCTGCGCTTGGAGGCCCAGGGCGTGGACGCGGCCCTGCAGACCTTCGTGCTGGCGCCGGGGACGATCTTCGATGCGGGCTCGCAGGCGGCGACGATCCCCGCCTTCATGCCCGTGGGGGGCCCTCTTCCACCTGCAGGGGGCGGAGCCGTCGTGCCAGCAGCAGCGGGAGCTGCGGGAGCCGCAGCGGCGCCCCCGCCCGCGGGCGCGGTTGCGCTACCCGCCGCGGGCGCGGCGGGGCCCGCGGCTGCCGCGGGTCTGGGCTTCGGCGCCGTGGGAGCGCCCGACGGGGCGGCAGCCGCCCCCGCAGCGGGCATCGACCTGGCGTCGCTGCTTCAGGAGGCGCGCTCGATCCAGGGCCAGCTGCAGGACGGGGGCGGCTTGAGCAGCAAGCGAGAGAAGAAAGACAAGAAGTCTGCCACCAAGAAGAAGAAGAAAAAGAAGAAGAAGAGGTCCGACTCCAGCGGCTCGACCAGCTCGAGCGACAGCAGCTCCTCCAGCAGCAGCGACTACCTGCGGTGGCGCGGGCCCAAGGCCAAGAGCCGTCGGGTCGACCCCGCCCAGGAGCGCAAGCTGGAGACCGAGAAGTTCAAGGCCAAGGGCGACCTCCTGGCGTTCGCGGCGAAGCACCCGGGGGCGCTCTCGGGGTACTTCCTGGCGATGGTGCACCGCAAGCTGAGCCACGGGCGCTTGACGGAGACCAAGCAGCTGAGGCGCGCGTCGGTGACGACGTGGGCGCAGGCACACTCGGGCCTGACCGAGCTGCGGGACCAGCGCGAGGTGCAGACGTTGGCGCTCGTCATGGACCTGATCAACGCGCAGGACCTGGCGACCGCGATGGACGTGCTGGCGCAGCGCATCATCGCGATCCAGCGGGCGAAGGCCAAGGGCGGCTCCTGGGAGAAGGCCGAGGCCGCGGAGCTGCTGGCTGGCACGGGGGGCGGGGTCGCTGCAGGCGGCCTCTTGAAGCTCACCATGTGACGAGGTGGCGGAGGGCGCGGCAGAGGTGGCTGCGCCGCGGAGGCCAGGAGTGCACGTTGGCTTCCGTCTTGGTCGGTCTGGGCGACTGGCTGAGCTTCGCTGGAGGGCCGCTGGGGCTGCCACTACGCCGTGGGCACCTCGTTCGGCCGCGTGTCGTGGAGTTCGGGAAGGCCTCGCCAGGCATCTTCCCAGTCCCTTTGCTGCGGCGTGGTGACGCCGAGCTCGCAAAGTTCGGGCGGCAGTACCGGGGCGCAATTTTGGTTTGGGCGAACATGTGCATCGTCGCGCTCAACGATCTGTACGACGGAGACGGCGACTACACCATGTTGCCGACGCAAGCCCAGCGTCGTGTGCAAAGGCGCATGCTGATGGGCGTCTCCCGCTTCCTCGCGGCCGAGTTGGCTTGGCCAGAGGCGGCGACAATTCAAGAGGTCCTGCGTCACTCCGACGGCTACGAGCCGTCCAGGTGCGTCGCGGAGCCCCTCGGCGAGCGTGGCGGAGTGCCAGACCGCGCCGCCGTCGTCGACCTGGCTGGGCTGCTGGACGAGCACTTTCCTGGGCTTGCTCATCAGGTGCGCTGTCCCCGATCGCTGCTCCTCAGCGTGGATCGGCGGCCCGCCAGGCTCAAGAGGCCTCACACGCTGGTGGGGCCCACTTACCCCAGTCTCGTGGCGCGCAACGTGGCGGCGGGCCTGCAGGGGTACGGCTCCAAGAAGAGGGTGCGCAAGCATCGTGGGGTTGCTCTCGTGGCTGGAGCTTTCGGCGTGAAGAAGTCAGACACGGAGCAGCGGGTGATCTCGGACCTGCCAGTGAACCAGCTGCTCAACCCTGATGCCCTCCCTCGGCCGACCTTCGCGTACCCGCCGCGGCTCCGTGTGGTGAAGACGCTGCCAGGCATGCGGGTCAAGCTGTGGAAGCGGGACCTGCGCCACTACTTTCACCAGCTGGCGATCGGCAAGGCCTGGCGGAAGTACATGGCCCATCCACCCGTGCCTGACCCGCGCGGGGGGAAGGGGAAGGTGTTCCCGTTCCACCACGCGACGCCGATGGGCTTCGCGCCGTCGGCGGGCTGGGCACAGGCGGCTTCCGACACCGCTTTCCTGAAGGCAGGGCTACCCCAGGAGCGCAGGGTGACGTTTGACCAGCCCTGCCCCACCGAGCTGCCGCTCTGGGGGTCCATCATTGACGACCTCTGGGCGTTGGACGCGCGCTCTGCAGGCGACCGCGCGCGGAGCCAGGCCGACTTCTGGATGACCAAGGCCGAGCGCGCCTGGGACCGCTTGGGAGTTCCTGTGCATCACGGCAAGTCCGTGGACGGCGGCAGCGGCGAGTTCCAGGGCACCGAGGTCCACCCCACGGAGCACTGGCTGGGTACCACTCGCCGCCGCCGCGTGGACCTCTTCGCAGCCACCCTCGCCCTTCTGGGTCAGCAGCTGGTCTACCGCAAGGACGTGGAGCGCTTGGTCGGGAAGCACGGTTTCTGCCAGAGTTATCGGCCTTGCTTGCGGTCTAACTTTTCTCAGGTCTATTCCTGGCTGGAGCGCCTACCCTTGCAGGGGCGCAAGCCCGTGGCGTGGTGCCCGTTGGCGTGGCATGAGGTGCTGATGTCGGCCATCCTGCTGCCGTTCGCAGAGCAGGACCTGGATGCGGACTGGTGCCCGCGCGTGGAGTGCACGGACGCCGCGCCAGGAGGGCATGGCCGCGCCTGGGCGACGCTGCCGCTGGAGTCGGTGCAGCACATCGCCAGGTGGGCTGACCACCGGGCGCCCTACACCATGCTCGGCGACGGCTTCGGGGTTGACGTGGACGTCGAGGGGCGCTGCAGCCTGGCCCGTGTTACGCTGCCGCCAGTGGGCCACTGGTTCAAGGTGGGCAGGCCAGGCGGCTATCAGCACATCACGCTTGAGGAGGCGCACGCGAAGCTCTGGGGCATGGAGGCCCGTCTTCATCGGCCCTCTGAGTTGGGGAAGCGAGTACTGCATGCTGGAGACAACGCCCCGTGCGAGGGCGCCTTCATCAAGGGACGCAGTGCCAGCCGCAGGCTCAACCGACGCTGCCGCCGTGGGGCGGCTATCGAGCTTGCGGGCGGGTTCTCGCACTTCCACTTCTGGATCTCGACAGGCAAGAACCCCGCCGACGAGCCCAGCAGCTGGCACGGGTCACGCCAGGCGCGTGGCGGCAGGCGCAAGCCGCCGCAGCCGCTGCCCCGCCAGGAGGTGATCCCGCTGGCGCCAGCAGGGTGGGCATCTCGCGAGAAGCTCTTCCTGCACTTCTGCTCTGGGCCCAGGCGCGAGGGCGACCT